CCAAGACCAGGAGTGCCCAATATCTACTAGTTTGCGTGGACACTTTCACTGACTGGGTAGAGGCATTTCCCTGCAGGACTGAGAAAGCCACCGAAGTAGTTAGAATTCTTCTCTCAGAGATCATTCCAAGATTTGGACTCCCAAAGAGTATACAGAGTGATAATGGACCCTCGTTCAAGGCAGCTGTTACGCAGGGAGTATCCAAGGCTTTGGGCATACAATACAATCTCCATTGTGCGTGGCGTCCCCAGTCTTCAGGCAAGGTAGAAAAGACCAATGAGATCCTTAAGCGCCATCTGAAGAAATTGTCTCAGGAGACTCATCTCCCGTGGGTAAATCTACTGCCTATGGCTTTAATTCGCATCAGAAACACACCCACGAAATTAGGCCTAAGCCCCTTTGAGAAGTTATATGGGAGACCTTTCCTCACTAATGATCTAGTGACAGACCAGGAGACAATGGACCTTACTAGATCAGTGGTTCAATTGGCTAAATTTCAGCAAACTCTTCAGCAACTGCCTGAGAAATTATCTAGAACCATGGGGGTTCCTAAATTTAACCCGGGAGACCTAGTATTAATAAAGACCTTTCCCACTAACTCTCCTTCTCTCTCTGAGTCTTGGGAAGGCCCCTTCACTGTAATTTTGTCCACCCCTTCCGCTGTAAAGGTTTCAGGCCACGAAGCCTGGATTCATCACACCAGAGTCAAGGCTTGGAACTCTGAACCTCCAGCAGACCAGTCGGCGGAAGACGTTCCTGAAATTGCCACTGATAAGGACTACACCTGTGAACCTACCCAGGGACTCAGGCTGCTGTTTAAAAGGGCCTCACCTACAGATAAGTAATTTATGATGACCCAGCTCTCACCAGTGCGGGGCAGTCCAGTGATGCTATTTTTAACGGTTTTATTACTATTGTCTTTTTTCCCAAGTAACACTAGAATAGTCTCTGAGGTCACAGTTACAAGTCCACGCCCAAGTCTAACTACTAGGGGTACAGACAGGGGGAATTTACGAAATCACACAGTGGTTAATTCACTCGCAGCCACTGAAAATCTATGGACTCACCTAGCATTTAATGTATTAAATAGAACTTCTTTTTGTGTACGTGAAGGGACATCTCCGTCAGAAATCTTACAGCAGAACTTAGTAGGTCTCGGTACCTCTTTTAAGAGCTTCACAAGAATAACTAACCAGAACATATCTTCTCTACCTGTAGCCAAGAGGCCTGTATCTCATCCTATGCCACTATTGCTTACTATATATGATGACTGTGTATGCATCTCTTGTAACCAAACAAAAAGGCATAATTGCTCCTCTATAACTTCTGTAGATTATTCGACTGACGTGAGCATGCCACAGGGCTGGAGCCTCCTCTGTGGCAACATGTCTTTTTCCATAATTCCTAAGTCATATACGGGCCTTTGCTCTGTAGGTCGGGTCGTGTCACTTCTAATCTCCCCAGTGACCGCATCTACACGTTCCATACGCTCCAGGCGGTCATTATCCCCAGACTGTGATGATTCTTTAACTTTATACACAATAACTAGTACAGTATTTAAGGCTTTATTTTTTCCAGGTGCTGTGGTATCCACCCAGGAACAGACAGAAATAGATGAATTGGCTTGTATATTAGAAAAAACTGCCAATGCCACTGCTAAGGCCTTATCCTATCTTAATGAGGAGATAAATGAGGTTCGTACGGGAGTCCTACAAAATCGGGCTGCCATTGACTACTTATTACTAAAGAATCAAATAGGATGTGAGAAACTCCCAGGTATGTGCTGTTTTAATCTAACTGACAATTCCAACCTAGTTGAAAGGGAGATTGACAAGTTACACGAGGAAGTAAACAAGATACACCTGTCATCAAATGTTTTCCTTGGAAACTGGGAAAAATTCTCTGCACATTGGGAGTGGTATTCTTGGGTATCGCCTTTTTTAAGCATAATAGGAATAATTGTTCTTTTACTCCTGTTTGGACCATGCATACTAAAATGCTTTACTCGTTTTGTGTTATCTAGAATCCAGCGAGGGGCAGAAGCGTTCCAGGCACCTCTGGTGACTTCTACAACTTATTACCGGGGACCCTTAGACCGACCCCCAGAAGAATACCCAACTGCTGCCCTTGAACTACGCCCCCTGTCAGCAGGAAGCAGTTAAGAGCGGTCGTCGTCCCAGTCCCCTAACAGCAGTTAGGGTCACTTCTTCTGGGGGGCGGAATGAGAGAGGAGTTAGTGGGTAGTAGGCAGTTAGGGTATTCTGGGTCCCTGAGTAAAGGAGAATTTCTCCACCATTTCTTGGACGCACCAGAACACGTCTCTTCCAAGGGACAAGGACGACAAGGACGCTATTAGCTTATCAATGCCCCACCTGAAGTATTATCGGCCATTACCTTGGCCATTGTGGGAGGGTCTCAGGCTGATAAGTGATGCATATCTGCCCAAGGCCTGGAATGTCCCATATCCTGCACCTCCCTGATCTTTTGCCCCAAAACCGAACACCTGGGGACCACCTGGGGATGGGGAAATTCCTTTAAAAGATCCCAACACTCCCCCATGCACGGGTCCTTTCTATCTCAAAGCCCCCTCCCGTCACTAGGACGGGAGTCTTCTTCTCAACTTTCCTAATAAATCTTGCGTTAAAACTAAACTGTGTCCGCATGAAAATTCTTCTTTCCTGCGAGACAAGAATTTGAGGTTGCTGCCATACTCGGAGTCAAAATTCCTGCAACATATATGTATATTGTATGTGAGTGCATATGAGCGTATTTCTGCAGTTAGGCACCTGTTGATATGGATGCTAAGGGAGGCTTGACCCTAACTCCTAAACCCTACTCTCCTGTGCAAGCTCTCAGCAACCTGCTGGACCCTGGGACTCTAGCCCTCATTCCTGCCAAGAACGGCATTTGGATATTGGAAGTAGGTAGACCAGGTAGTCGGTTGGGCAGTGCTCCGTGTGCTTGCCTGGCCCTGGGTCCCAGCGCTCTGCTGATGTACGAAAGCAGAGGGGAATGGTGCAAGTGCTTGGGCTCCTGCCACCCATGGGAGACCCGGATGAAGCTCTTAGGAGGACTTTGTGACCCTAGAAGGTCAGCGAGCACAGGATTACAACTGAATGGATAATATTTAGATGATAACAACCGAATGGCTACCTTTTGTATACGTGATTGTATACGTGAGAGCAGTTGAGTGGACAGCATGTGAATAAGAACACTTAGTGGAATATACAAGACAAAAGGAGTTCCAAACAAAAGTATGGAAACAGTTGATGGGTTTTGTGGATAAGCTCAATGCCTCCTCCCTCATCCCACGTGACCCTCGGTGTATAAAGTCTGATGCCACTAATAAACTTCGGCTTTTGACCATCAGTCCACGCGTGTTATTATCGGCTCTGTGCAGCAAGTCCATCGCTGTGGGACAGCGACAAAACTCCTGGCTTCTGGTTTCAGATTACCTCAGCTCTGGCCACCGTGGCCATTTGGGGAGTGAACCAGCAGATGAAAGTTTTCTCTCTCTCACTCTTTCTTTCAAATAAATAAATAGCTGTAAAAAACAAACAATAAAATAAAACCCTGCTGTCTCTTGCCTGGCAGCAGTCATTGAGAGGGAGCCTCGCCATGCAGAGCTCAACCTTGCCAGCAGCCACAAGGGAACACAGCCTTGCCTCCACCTGTCAGCTCTGGCCTCATCCTCAGCCTTGTTCTCCTTCTCCAAGACCTCAAAGGAGGGCAATTGGCTAATAGTCCTCCTTCAAGCACCGGTTTTCCCTATGGGCACTGGTTCAAGTCCTGGCAGCTCCACTTCCCATCCAGCTTCCTGCTTGTGGCCTGGGAAAGCATGGAGGATGGCCCAAAGGCTTGGGACCCTGCACCCACATGGGATACCTGGAAGAAGTGGCTCCTGGCTCCTGGCCTTGGGCCAGCTCCTTTCCAGCGGCTGGGGCCACTTGAAGAGTGAATCAGTGGATGAATCTTTCTGTCTGTCTGTCTCTCTCTCTCTCTGTGAATTTATCTTTCCAATAAAAATAAATGCACTTAAAATAAAAGACCTCCAAAGGTCAGAGTGTGTTAGACGGGGCAGGGGTGCGGTGGGGTGGGTGGGCGCAGATGTCTCCTCTCACCTACCTCGCTGGCAGCCCCCCACCTCCAGATCCCTCGGGCCCTGATCTCAGCTGGCAGTTTTGATGTGTGTGTGACCCGAGATTAGGGGAATGCACAGCACATCCAAGGGTGGGCTCGGGGGTTCTGCAGTCTGCAATTCGAAGATGAATCAAGGACCTCGCTTGTGAATGCCATCATGCCAAGCCCAGGATTAGACTTCTGATTTCTTTTTTTTTTTTTTAAGATTTATTTTTATCTTTATTGGAAAGGCAGATATACAGAGAGGAGAGACAGAGAGGAAGATCTTCCTTCCGATGATTCACTCCCCAAGTGAGCGCAACGATCGATGCTATGCCGATCTGAAGCCAGGAGCCTCTTCCAGGTCTCCCATGCAGGTGCAGGGTCCCAAGGCTTTGGGCTGTCCTCGACTGCCTTCCCAGGCCACAGGCAGGGAGCTGGAAGGGAAGAGGGGGCTGCCGGGATTAGAACCGGAGCCCATATGGGATCCCGGGGCGTGCAAGGCGAGGACCTTAACCACTGCGCCATCGCGCCGGGCCCCAGACTTCTAATTTCTTTATGCAGAAATGTATGGGGGCAGGTGGAAGCCCCACCCAGGCTTGCAAGGAATCCCAAGTATCCAGTTGGGTGCCTGACTGGGTGCCTGACTGGGTCACAAGGACATGATGCCAAGGAGCAGGTGAGGTAAGGGCAGCGCAGAGCCTAGCCTACGCTCCCGGGCAACCCATGGAAGGACGGATGGCTGAGAAACGGAAGGAGCGCGCAGAGATTGCTCCCCTTCTAGGGAGGGGGCGCCGGAAGGGGCGCGCGGAGTGGCGGCCGTTGGCGAGCTACGATCTGGCCAGGCGGTCCCAGGCGGGGCCAGGCGGACCGCGGCCACCATGACCAAAGACTCGCCCGGCCCCTCGGGCGGCGGCGGCCGCGGGTCGCTCAAGAAGCCGAGCAGCCCGGGCCCGTCGGCGGTAATGTTGGAGGAGCAGAGGCGGGAACTGGAGAAGCTGAGGGCCGAACTGGAGGCGGAAAGGGCGCGCGGCAGGGCCGAACGGCGACGCTCGGCGTCGCAGGCGCGCCAGCTGCGGGAGACAGCCGAGCGAGAGCGGCAGCACCTGGCTGAGCACTTGCGCTCCAAGTGGGAGGCCCAGCGCTTCCGGGAGCTGCGGCAGCTGCAGGAGGAGGTGCAACGGGAGCGCGAGGTCGAGATCCGCCGGCTGCTGCGCTGGAAAGACGCCGAGATGCGGCAGCTGCAGCAGCTGCTGCAGCGCGAACGGGACGGCGTGGTGCGCCAGGCGCGGGAGCTGCAGCGCCAGCTGGCCGAGGAGTTGGTGAACCGCGGATACGGTGGCCACGCGGGGGCACCCGAAGGCCCCGCCGCAGCGCAGTGCCGCTGTCGCCTGCAGCAGGTGCTGGGGCAGCTGCGCTGGGACACGGACGGCGAGCAGGCGGCGCGCATCCGTCACCTGCAGACAGCGCTGGAAATGGAGCGCCAGCTCTTCCTCAAGTACATCCTGGAACACTTCCGCTGGCAGCCCGTGTTGCCCGAACCCTCCTCGGACTCGCAAGCCACGCCGCCGGTCTCGCCAAAGCGGCTCCTAGGCTCTCGCCGTGCCCCGGAGCTGGCCTGCCGACCGGGGTCCCTGGATAGCCTGAGCACCGGCGCGCGCGCGCGCTCCCGCTCTCTGGATCTAGTGCCCGCCGCCCGCAACACCAGCTCTCCGAATGACCCATTTCCCACGCGCGCCAGCTCTCTGGATTCGCTGGCGCCTGCGCAATCCCGCTCAGGTGACAGCACCTCGAGCTGCCCCAAAGCCTCCGAGTCCGAGGCAAGGGCCTCCTCGACAGACGCCTCCATTCTGGGCTCCCCCAGTGCTGTATCGCCCTTGCCGCTCCCGCCACCGGCGACGCCGTCGCACAGGAAGCCCGGCGACCCTCGTGGAGAAGAGGGCTATGGGAACAGCCAGCTGTGCGAAGCTGCCGCCGCCGTCACCACCACTACCTCCTCCACGTCCTCCTCCTCTTCCTCCTCGCCGCAGCCACCGCTGTCCGATCCGGACTACCAGGAACTGATGAAGCAGAACTCGGAGTTGAGCGAAGCGCTGCAGGCGCTCGCACGCCGCTTCTCGGGGCTGCAGGAGGAGAACGCACAGCTGCGGCGTGACGGCTTCTCCGGGCAGGCGGATGAGAAGGTGAAGCGGCTCAAAGTGAAACACGCGGAGCTGACGGGCCTGGCGCTGCGTCTGCAGGATCGTGCCCGCAAGCTACAGGAGACCAACCTGCGGGCGGTGAGCGCGCCGGTGCCGGGCCACAGCCACGCCGACCTGGAGCTGTGCCAGGCCTTCGCCCGCCAGCGTTTCCAGGATCTGTCGGAGCAGGCGAGCGCGCTCCTGGCCAAGGACAAGCAGATCCAAGAACTGCGACGCGAGTGCCACCTGCTGCAGGCGCGAGTCGCCTCCTTGACTTCCGCCGGCCCCTCGCATCCCGCGGGGACTGCCTCCCCCGCCCAGTGGCTGGGCATCAGTGACTTGGACCGACTCCAGCGCGAGTCCCAGCGGGAGGTGTTGCGTCTGCAGAGGCTATTGATGCTGCAGCAGGGACAGCGCCCACGGAGTGAGGAGGAAGAGGAGGAAGCGGTGCTACGGCAAGTGCGGGCGCTGGAGCGCCAGTGCGAGGAGCTGGGCGCGCAGGCGGCGGCGGCTAACCAGCGCGGCGACGAAGCCAAAGCACAGCTGCAGGCGGCCCTGCGGCAGGGCGCCTGGTTAGCGGAGGAGAACGCTCGGCTACAGGCGCGGGTCGACTGGATGTGCAAGGTGGCAGCCGAGAACGGCGACGTGCGCGGGCGGCTGGGGCGCGCGGGCCAGGACCGCGAAGCCGCTGGCCTGCTGGCGGAGCAGCTGCTGCGACAGGCGGCGCGCGGACAGGACAGGCAGCAGCAGCTGCAGCACGACCTACAGAAGGCCCTGAGCGACCTCCAGGCCGCCCAGCAAGAGATGCGGACCCTGCAGGGGCAGCCGGCCCGGTCTTCCAGCCAGCCCTGCGAGGCCCTCCTAAACCTGGATTCTCCAGTTCGGTCCAGCAAGCCTGAGGATTGCACACTTCCCTCTCAGAGCAGCGGAGACAGATCCAAGAGGCCAGAGTCAACGCGAGGGAGCCCAGAGGAGGCAGCCTGGGTCCCACAAGAATCAGACAGAACCCCCGCATCCAGCCCAGCCCTGGAAACCAAGTCCCAGACCAGAAAAACCAGCTCCCATTCCAACTCCTCCTCAGAGGTGGAGTCCCTGTGGGCCACTGTACCATCCTGCCCAACCCTGGACATGGACACCGCCAGTGAGGTGGATGATCTGGAGCCTGACAGTGTGTCCCCAGCCCTGGAGGCTGGGCCTGCCCAGGCTCCTACCACCCCCGAATTCAAGATCTTCTTGGCCAGGTACAGCTATGACCCATTTGAGGGCCCCAATGAGCACCCTGAAGCCGAGCTGCCCCTCAAGGCCGGGGACTGTGTATACATCCTTGGAGACATGGATGAAGACGGCTTCTACCAAGGGGAACTCGAAGATGGCCGCCGAGGCCTGGTGCCCTCCAACCTCATTGAACAGATCCCAGAGACTGAGATCCTGGGCCGTCTCTCGTCCAAGGGCAGCGACTCCAGCAATGACCCCATTGTTCCCACTCAAATGCCAGTTGCCTCATTGCCTGGGGAGGAAGCTGTGGGTCCAGGGCCACCACACAAGACAATGAAGGTGGGCTCCAAGACTGCAGTGGCTATGGACACTGGTCAGCGGGGCTCACCACAGAGCCCCGGGGGGCAGGACTTCCCCAGACCCCTTCTGGTGGCCAGAGGGGCGCTCTGTGTGGCCCCAATGCAGCTCCACCTGCAGGGTGTGACTGCCACCTCAGCCGAGATTGCTTGGATCTGCAGCATCAGCAGCCATCCCCATGTGGTGTACCTCGATGGCCAGGAGCATGCCCTGACCCCAGCGGGCGTTAGTCACTACACCTTCCAGAGCCTGCATCCTGGCACGCGCTACCAGGCCCTGGTTGAGGTCCGGCTGCCGTGGGACCTGCTACAGGTGCGCTGGGAGACCGTGTCCTCCACCATCACCTTCGACACGCCACTAGCGGGCCCCCCTGACCCACCCCTGGACGTGCTGGTGGAATACCAGGGCTCCCCAGGCCGCCTGATGGTGAGCTGGCTCCCTGTGACCATCGACTCAGCCGGCTCCTCCAATGGGGTCCAGGTCACGGGCTATGCTGTGTACGCCGATGGGCTCAAGGTGGCGGAGGTCCCCGACGCCACTGCCGGGAGCACCCTCTTGGAGTTCTCCCAGCTGCAAGTGTGGCCTGCGTACCAGAAGGTCTCTGTGAGGACCATGTCCCTCTTTGGCGAATCCTTGGACTCAGTACCGGCACAGATCCCCGAGGACTATGACTCCTGTCCCCAGCTGCCAGAGGTTCCTCCATTCAGCTACCCCTCTGGTGACCCATCCACCTGCAGGGTCACCTTTCCTGTCGGTTCCCAGAAACCAGCCCTGGCTCCTCTTAACGCCAAGACCAACTCCTGCACCTCTGGCAGCTGTGGTGAACCCCGGGCTGAGTTCCTAGATGCCTTCTCCGAAGAATCCCTGAGCAGGCAGTCCTCTAGGTCCCACTTGAACTCAGAAGAATATCCAAACTCAGGGCCCGTAAGCCCAAGGCAGGCTCTCACCAAGGCTTGGGAGGCCTGCGGAAAAGATCTGTCCTTCCAGAACCATGGGTCACCTCTGCCCGATGGCCACTCTGGGAGAGAGGAGGAGCATTTCCGGCATAGGAGCTCTGCTAGCCGACACCCCACCCCAGGATGTGTTCACCTGTTCCCTGAGCTTAGGCGGGAGAAAGAATTGGATCAGGAAAAACCTTTCCTTGAGAAGGCCCTTGGGTCAAAGCAAGATGCCCAGGTGTTTGTATCTCGCCAGTTGGGTACCAGCCAATGTTTCCCAACAGACTTCCACAACATTGTGAAGGAGGAAGAGGAGGAGGAGGTGGAAGAGGAGGAAGAGGAGGAGGAGGCAGCACTGTATTTGGCTCCGTGGGGCACAGAGAGGCAGGAGCAGAGACAACAGCTGAGACTCCAGAGTGGGCGAGGGCAGGCTCCCAGGGCCCGGAGACAACGTCCGGCTCCACCCAGGAAAGCTATTCCGATGCCCGGGGCTGGCCCCCTACAGCTAGGGCCCATGACCAGCCCCGCGGTCAGGGTCTTCGTGGCTCCCTTTGATTATAACCCGCTCCTGATGTCTCCCCACAGGGAGGCTGCCGGGGAGGAGCTAGCTTTCCAGAAAGGGCAACTGCTAAGAGTCTGGGGCAGCCAGGACCCCCGCGGCTTCTACCATGGTGAATGCAACGGGCAAGTAGGCACCATCCCCGGGCACCTGGTGGCCGAGGCAGAGGCGGGCGCCCAGTGGCCCAACGCAGGTGCTTGGCGCTTCCTACCCGCCTTGGGCCACCACCTGGAGGCTTTCAAGGGGCTCATGGGCCCCCGGGGCACCTTGTCCAGGCTTCAGAAGAACCTGAGAAGAACCACGCTGTGGACCCCAAAGACCATGCTGGCAGCTCTGGACTACAATCCCAAGGATGGGCGGGCAGGGGGTGGCCGTGCCAAGGGCAAGCTGGCACTGAGGGCGGGGGACGTGGTCACGGTCTATGGACCTGTGGATGACAAGGGATTCTACTACGGCGAGTCCGGTGGTCACTGGGGCCTGGTCCCGGCACACCTGCTGGATCAAATATCCCTCCATGGAGAATGAATGAGAAAGGCTACTTAGCTGTCTTCCCCTGGGAGGGGGAAAGGCTGTGGCCTCTGGTTACTTACATCTTGCCAGAGAGGAATCAAGTGCATGGATCCTTCCACTAGTATCCCCCATTCTCCACTCTCCCACACAAACACACCCTTTTCCCCAAAAGAGGCTAGTGTTGACCCTATGGCAGTATCCCCGCACATCTCTAGTAATTTCTGGAAGCAGCAGGGTTCACAACACCCCCAGGTTAAAACACATCCAACAGGAAAACAGAGTCAGCCAGAACTGGCCACCAGGTCGTCCCTGGAAATTGTCCATGAGCATGATGAATATGTGTTGGAACAGGTGCTTTGGGTCCACAGGTAGGCGTTGAACACTGTTTCTCCGTGGCCAAGTGTGAACAACTCCAGAAACATCTGCCTCTTAAAAACAGCGAACAGAGTATTTTTCTACCTCATGTTCAACCCCACCTCCTTCATTAAAATATTCGTAGAAAACAAAAACATACCAGAGAATACTTCAAATGTTGAAGTACAACTGTGAGAGACACACACGAGCAGCCTCTTCTCTCCCTCATTTTCGGTCTCCTGGGTTGGCAGAACTGAGGCGAGGCATCCTATATAGATGCCCTATATATATTATATATATTATCCCCTATATAGAATGGGCCTTGTAGATTTACCTCTCCACCCCTAGGGTCCAGCCAGGTGCCAGCTGTGCCCTGGGGCATGGCCTAACAGGTAACACACCCCCCCCCATCCCACCCTCCCCATCTGTAATGGAGTTGCTGGGTTTTCTGTCCCTCCCCTGCTCCCTGCTAGTGTGCACCCCCAATGGCAGCAGGGATGGCTCGAGCCCTTGTTGGGTCCTTGCCACCTACATGCAGGAGACCTGGGTCACGTTCCTGCCCCTTGGGTTGGACCCAGTCTAGCCCAGACCCACCATTGTGGATACTTCAGGACCCGAGTGACCCCAAAGATGAAAACATTCTTTCTCTCTCTTTGCCTCTATAAAACATCAAGCAAAAATCTTCCTAGTTAGAACTTCACTCAGGGATGTTGCCGCGCTGGGGCTGTGTCACTGGGGAGCTCCTTCTGTCCCCCTATTTGCCCATAAGTTACCTTATGAGGAAGTCTCAGGAAGTCATTATGTGCCCCATGGCTCCCAGGAACCTGCTCACCTAAACCCCCCTCCCCCCAATTCAAACCCATCTCTTCCTTCCCTGGCTGTTCAGAGAACAATACTGTCTCCCCAGGTAGAGAGAGAAGCTTCTGGAAGGGGGAGATGGATGGATCAGAGAGGCAACAGCTGGATTTATAGCAAATGGACAAATGAAGACGAAAGGGCCGCGTGCAAAGTCCACTGGGCTGAAAGTAGGAATGGGGACTGGGCAGGCCCTCGGGCTACCTTGGCTTGACAGGGACGCAGGCACTGGGGAAGGTGCTGCAGCTAGCACCCGTGCATTTGTTAAACATGGATGGAAATCTGCAGCCTCAGTCAGGGTAGGGAAGGAAGTACTCCTGGTTCTCTATGGATGCAAGACGACCACTCTCTAGGACCCATTTTTACAAGACTCCCTACTGCCTCTCCTGGTTTTACAGCCAAGCTCTTCAGGCCCAGTGTGAATCACAGCTGAGAGCACTGGTTCATGCAGCGGTTTTCTAGAAGCACAGCAGAAGTGGAACTAACAGAGTAATAACCATTTTTAGGAGCCAGGTGTGCTAGTACAGTGGGTGAAGTCGTTGCTGGTGCCGCCAGCATCTCATTTCAGAGTGGCTGATCCACTTCTAGTCCAGCTTCCTGCTTGTGTGCCTGAGAAGGCACTGAGGGATGGATGCCCAGGTGCATCTCAGAACCCTGCTACCCACCTGTGTGGGAGACCCAGCTGCAGTTTCTTGCTCCTGGACATTTTGGGAGTGAACTAGCACATGGAAAATTTTCTCTCTGATACTCTCTGCCTTTAAAATAACTAAATCTATAAACCCTTAAAAACCAAAAACGAAACAAAAAAGAAAAAAATTTTCAATAAAAGTAAAAAAACAATGAGGGGCTGGGCCTAGCACAATGGCTCAATTGGCTAATCCTTCACCTCTAAGTGCAGGGATCCTATATGGATGCTGGTGTGTGTCCCGGCTGCTCCACTTCCCATCCAGCTCCCTGCTTGTGGACTGGGAAAGCAGTCGAGGACGGCCCAAAGCCTTGGGACCCTGCACCCATGTGGGAGACCTGGAAGACATTCCTAGCTCCTGGCTTCAGCTCAGCTCAGATCCAGCCATCGTGGCCATTTGGGGGGTGAACCAGCAAATGGAGAATCTTTTTTCACAGTCTTTCCTTCTTTCTGGAAATCTGCCTTTCTAAAAGAAATAAGTGAATGTTGAAAAACAAAGCAAGGGGGTGGGAAAGAAGAAAACGAGGGTCTGACATGATGGCTCAATTGGCTAACCCTCCACCTACAAATGCCAGCATCCTACACAGATGCCGGTTTGTGTCTCAGCTGCTCAACTTCCTTTTTTATATCAAAACAAACAAAGATGAGTAGGCAAACAGAGAGCTTGGATCTGTTGACTCTGCCCACAATGGCTGAAGCTGAAGCAGCGAGTCGGGAACTCAATTTAGGTCTCTTAACCAGGGGGAACCCAGCCACCTTGGCCATCACCTGCTGGCTCCAGACTTCTGCCTCAGTAGGAAGTGGAGGAGGGGAAGGGATGGGGAGGGTCAGAGCTAGGATTTCAACTCCAGTAACTGATACAGGATACAATCCCGTTGGAGCCTCCAGGCCAGATGCCTGCCCCCTAGCGAGTATTTGAAAGTGCACCACACCACTCAGTTATATTGCAGAGAATTCCCAGATTTTGTGCAGTTCAGCTCCAGAACTTCCTACATCTTGCAAAACTAAAAGTCTGGCCCTGTTGAACCCTGACCCCCAGTCTCATTTCCCTGGCTCTCTTGTTCTCCCCTCCCCCAGCACTGTATCATGTCTCAAGAGGGGTGACTACCTCTCCCAGACCCCATTCCCAGTGGCAGCTACTTCCAAAAGTGTGTGGTGAGAGCACCTGGCTTGGGCCAGGCGCAGCCCCCTGGCCGAGGACAGCCATCCGGGAAAGTGACCCAGCACATGAAAAACACATCTCGGTCTCTCTCTCTCTCTTCCTCCCTAACTTTGCCTTGCAAATACATCTTTCAAAGAATCAGAATAGGGCCTGGCACAATAGTGTAGCGGTTAAAGTCTTCGCCTTGAATGCGCCAGAATCCCATTTGGATGCTGGTTCTAATCCCGGCAGATCTCATGCACACCTTGGCCCAGTCTGACTTGGCCCATCTCCTGTCCTAGCAGGTACAGAGGTCTTGCTCGACTGGCCCACACTCATTCTGACTCTTACTGTTGGGTCTTCCAGCCCAACCCCACTTGGTTCACCCCCAAACTCAGCTCTTTCATGCTTCAGCAAGGCCTGCACTTCATCCTGGCTCCTGTACACGCCAGTGTTCTAAGGTTTGGCCCGGCCCTGCCTGGTTTATCCCCACCAGCACTAACCCACACACTTGCTGACAAGTGGAGCCGCCTTGCCCAGCCTGAACAATACTCATGCCTGAATCACATGCTCACCAGTGGAAACTACAGCCCACCAAGGGATTTTCCCAAGTTTCTCCACTAGGCCCACTTCCAGACTCAGATCTCATATATGCCAGTGGTTGCTAGACCCTTACCAGACATAGTCTGGCTGCTCTGTTTCGGCCTTTATGTGAGCTGGAGGATGTTGCGGCCTGGATCATCTCACACCCTGTTCTTGGGTTTGCCTATGGGTACTGTAGCCTGAACCAGCCCAGCTTATTCCCAACCCCAATACCCATGAGTGTCAGGGGTTCCACGGTCATGCTTAGCTCAGCTCATCACTACCCCTAGCTCTTGAGCAAACCAGCAGAAATTACAGTTCTGTCTGGGTGAACCCACATAACTCCCCACAGAATCTCTTCCCAGACCTGGTTCTCTCACATGCTGGCTAGTGTCATGGCCCAGACTAGCATTACCCATCTCCTGTTCTGACCCTTACTGCGGGAACTGTGATCTAGTCCTGCCAGATAAGCCCCCAGCCCCAGCTTTAGTGTGTGCTGGTGAGTGGTGGTCGATGCTTACTAGCCCAGCTCAAGTCTCCCACAAAGGCAGGTCCATCAGTCTGAGCCACAGAGGTCCTCCAGCTTCCCTCCTGGAAACCACACGATCTCAGCCTCCTCATTTGCCTGCAAGTACCTTGGCCTTGTCAGTGAAAGCCCTCCAGAAGTCACTCCTTCCTTGCAACATACTCACTCAGCAGTCCTCCCTCCCACACATCCCAAACCCCCTCCCTTGAGCAATCCACAGTCCCTGTGCTCGGAATCTTCATGGATTCCCCAGCCCTGTCTTCCCAACCCCAGTTTTCTGGCAGGGTGGCTGGCATGCTGGCCTGGAACTCTGCCTGCCCACCCGGGACCCAAGTTCCTGGCTTGCATGCTGGCCTGGGACTGTACCCCTCTGCACAACCAAGATCCAAGCAAATTCACAGTTTCCCAAGCCTGGACCACTAGCATACCACACCGGCATAACTAACTTTGAGCTCTCCTCCCCACACCCCAGAATCAAGCACGTATGGAAATCCCCAGGCTTATTCCACCTGCCTACGCATGAGCCCCCAGGTTCCAGCACACCCCAAACTGATCATCTCCTAGGCTCCCTGCAAGCTCATGCTCCCAGGCTCCCATGAGCCCGCCAGAAGAAGCGAAACGCAAAGAAGAGAGTCCAGGCAAGTCTGAGCAGCAGCACAGCACAGGTGTCCAGGTCCCCCAACCACGTGGCACAGACAGGACCAGTCTGCTGTACATACTGGCAAGCATGGGAACCAGGGTAGGAGGCAAGCCTGCTGGCGGTTATTGGGGATCACTCTGATTAGCGTGTGGTGGGAAAGATCAGGCTGCATTGTAACATCCATCGGTTTGCATAGACCGCAGGGCTGAAGACAACTGACCCAGCAACTAACAGTGTGTGCATAGGCCGATTTGAGCGGCAGACTGTACCAGACCCAGTATTGGCAGGCACACACAGGAATCAGGTCTGGGATCATCTCAGGTTAAGATTCTCTGTGAATCCCCCCAATTGAATCCCTGGACTCAAAACTCCAACCGTGGAGGAAATTGCAGGTTCCATGATCTGACCGTGGGGTGCAAGTGTCAGAGCTGGACCTCATCAGCGGCTCAGACGGAGCAGTGGACAGCACATCCAGGTGCCCATGGAGGATATGGCAGGACACTGGTGCCTTCAGAGGAAACCTGGTACCACAAGAGAGGACAAAGGACAGAACAAATCAATCAACTACCCCAGCCAAGAGTTGGTAATGAATACTTAGACAAATGGAGACTCTAGGGTGGATATGACAGCCAGTGGACTCTGGAGAGATTTCATCGTGATTGGAGTGGCAAGATGGGCAGCAATACAGAACTGCCGAACTATCAAAACCTCTTGAGCAGG